ATTCATAAAGAACGGTCAACCAAATGACAGGCTAGAAGGAATGAAACAAATGATATCCGAAGGTTCAAAGTTGATTGAGGATGCCAAACGCAATTTCTTCCTTAGAGCAGGAAACACCTTAGCCAACCCTGGGACTTCTAGTAAAACATATTGGTCTTTAATTAACACTGTCCTAAACAAAGCTAAGATTCCAATAATACCACCTCTTTTAGAAAATGGTTTTTTATAACGGATTTCACTGAAAAGGCGCAGATATTCAATGATTATTTCCTTCTCCAGTGTACGACGATTGATACAGATAGCGTAATTCCACTAAATGTTCCAACTCCTTCTTCTTTCATAAGCGAGTTTCTTATATCTGAGGAAAAGATTCTTAACATTATAAGGTCTCTAAATCCCAATAAAGCTCATGGTTGGGATGAAATATCAGTCAGAATGGTAAAGTTAAGCGATGCTGCACTAGTTACTCCTCTAAAAATTATATTCGAAAACTGCTTGAGGCGGGGTGAATTTCCCGAAAGATGGAAATATGCAAATGTAGTGCCAGTTCACAAGAAAAACGAGAAAAATCTTAAAGGAAATTATCGACCAATCTCTCTCCTTCCCATTTTTGGAAAAATTCTTGAAAAACTCATGTACGATCCTTTATATTCTCTCCTGGTGTCATGCAAGTTACTCAATCCGAATCAATCAGGTTTTCGTCCCGGTGACTCAACGATTAACCAACTAATCTCAATCACCCATACTATCTTTAAAGCCTTTGATTGTAATCCTCCACTTGATGTTCGCTCTGTGTTTCTCGATATCTCTAAGGCATTCGATAGGGTATGGCATGACGGCCTTATTTATAAGCTAAAACGTTGTGGCGTCACTGGACAATTACTTTTGTTTATTGAAAGTTTTCTGAAGAATAGAAAACAACGAACTGTCCTAAATGGACAGAATTCTCTCTGGGGAGATGTTTCGGCGGGAGTACCCCAGGGTTCTATACTGGGACCCCTGTTGTTCCTTGTTTATATCAATGATCTAGCTGCTGGTATGAAGTGTAATATCAAGCTTTTTGCTGATGATACATCGCTGTTCACCGTTGTGGAAGATCCAAACTCAGCTGCCAATGACATGAACCATGATCTTGAATTGATAAGTCAATGGGCCTATGATTGGAAAATGTCCTTCAACCCCGATCCACACAAACAAGCTGTTGAATTAACTTTTTCGACGAAACGAATTGAAATCAACCATCCAGAGATTCGTTTTAACAACATACCAGTGAGAAAAGTTGATGAACATAAACATCTAGGTATTATTCTGGATTCAAAGCTTTCTTTTTCGGCTCATATCAAAGCAGCGATCTCTAAAGCAAGAAAGGGTATCGGTCTTCTGAAACATCTCTCCAAAATCCTTCCCAGACATACCCTAAACGAACTATTCAAACTCTATGTGCGACCTCACCTTGAATACGGAGATGTGATCTATCATATTCCAGCCAAAGCATGTGAATCCAGCGGTAATGTTATTTTGTCAAGTTTGATGGAAAAGCTTGAGTCCGTTCAGTACTCAGCTGCTCTAGCCATCACAGGAGCATGGAGGGGGACATCGCGAACGAAGATATACGCCGAGCTTGGTTGGGAATCGTTAAGTTCCCGACGCCGGAGTAGACGCCTTACGTTGTTTTACAAAATGATGAATAATCAAACACCTGCATATCTAATGGATCCAATTCCAATACTTCAACAGTCGCATTACCCACTTCGCAATCGTGACGTCATTGGACAAATAAGAGCAAGAACAGAAAAGTTCAAGTCTAGTTTCTATCCCGATTGCCTGGCTGAATGGAATGAACTAGATCAGGAGATTAGACTTGCACCATCGGCTACTTCCTTTAAAAAAAAGTTGATCTCCAAAGTCCGTCCTTCTGCTAGCTCTGTTTTTGGGATTCATGACCCAATAGGTTTATCCTATCTCACTCAAATTAGAGTGGGTCTTAGCAAATTAAGCTTTCATAAATTCAAGCACAATTTTAGGGATTCCATAAACCCAATGTGCCCTAACAACGATGGTATCGAGACTACGGAACATTTTTTGTTGCTCTGCCCCGCCTTTGAAATTGAGCGACGAAATCTTCTCGCTAGAGTCTTTGAATTAGTACAATCATTAGGATATAACGATCTTTCAAATGAGGTTTTGATAGAACTTTTATTATATGGCGATAAAGACCTCCCAAACAACCTCAACAGAAATATAATCGAATTAACTCTCCAATATATTCACACAACTGGTAGATTCGAATAAGGTCACTGTTACCTTGCCACCAAGTCTCTTTTCATATAGTTTTGTATGCCTACTTATGCAGTATTTCCCGTTTATGTATATGTTGTATTTTACTATGTATGTATTATTATAATCTAGTTTATATATATGTAGTATTATTAGTTATATTCATATACATGTCATATCCCAGGGGGCAGTCATGTTATATTGCTCCTCCTGGGTTCTGTCCTTGTAATGTAGTTTAGTAGTTTGTACGTACTGTTTTAGGTAATTTGTTGTGTAAGTTTTTATACCGAATATATATATAAAAAAAAAAAAAAAAAAATATATCACGCTCTACGTGCTAACGTATTGACCACTGTGCTACGGAAGTATCAAGAGCAAATTTCTATATATGTATGTTATATTGTAAATTTGAAACATCAAGGGAAATAATATTTAAAATAATGTAAAAGAGTACCAAAAATTGCGAGGGTAGGGTTGGTTAGAAGGGGTTGTGTAGCGTATCTTGTCATGTTTAGATCTACTATAACTATTTACCATATTCTCTTTATGTTAGTTTTTTTTAGTTTAGATGCATGGCCCCTTGTAAACCAGCATTGCTGAATGGGCTACCATGCTTAAATAATTGAAATAAAATGAAATGAAAATGAAACACTGGGTGGGGAAAACAAAGGGAGTGGTTGGTATATCCTTTCATACTATCCAAGTGTATTCATCCATCGAAGTACAAAAAAGTATCTGAATCAAGCATTACAGTGTAATTTGAATTACGACAATTACCCGAGCTGCAATTTACTCCAGAATTCGAAGGAGCATGAAAAGTAAACATTTCTTTTGATTTTTTTGATTTCTGATTTTTCTGATTTTTCTGGGCGTGTTTTTATTGATTTCGTTCGCTTTTTAAATGACATTGAAATATTTGTCAGCGATTCATTCCTGTTGCTTTGCAATTCCCGCAGAAAGACCTTTCGTTGTCTGAATGTTCTTCTGCGGAATTGTTTGCACACAGCAAAAGCTGTACTTTTCGAGCAGCTGAAAATAGAGTTTAGCTGAAAATAGAGTCCGAACGTCTAATGTTCCGTCTTCACATTTGTTGTAATCTTGTTTTGTTAGCAGTAGGTTGCAAATTACTTGTTAGGGAGTGTACATCCCGTCTTTATTTAGAGAGCTGTGGTTTACTGAAAGCAACTGGTGTAAGTGGAGAGAAGATCTTTCTCAAATTATGCAATCGGATTTGGAGCACCAAAGAATGGCCAGATGACTGGACCAAATCACTGCTGATTACCTTATCGAAAAAAGGTGACACAAGGGAATGCAAAAATAACCGTACCATCTCCTTGATTTCACACGCGAGCAAAATTCTTCTTTATATAATAGCAGCACGTTTGGAAAACCACCTCAATCGTGAACTCCCACCAACACAGGCAGGTTTCAGAAAAAGTCGTGGTACACGTGACCAAATCGCCAACATGCGCTGGATTATCGAAAAGGCCATCGAAAAGAACCGACGTATTTTCATGGTCTTCATTGACTACAGTAAGGCCTTCGATTGCGTGGATCACAACATGCTCTGGAACATTTTAGAGAAGATGGGATTTCCATTACATATCATACATCTTATCAAGAATTTATATTCATCACAAGGTGCAGCTGTTAAAACGACGACGGCATCACGGACTTTTTCAACCTAGGTAAAGGCGTACGTCAAGGTTGTATTCTTTCACCGCTGCTTTTCAACATCTACGGCGAATACATTATGAGACAGGTCGCACAAGGAGAGGACTGTGGTTTCGCTGTTGGCGGTAACCGAATACACGAACTGAGATACGCAGACGATACCACACTTTTAGAAACTGCTATCGGCCTCATGCAAAGACTAGTGGACAAGATCAAGGATGAAAGCGAAAAAGTGGGACTATATCTCAACAAAGACAAGACCAAGCTGATGGCGATCGGTGACCAGACACAAGACACCGTGACTGTGGATGGCACAGAAGTCGAACGAACGAGATCACTTTCTTGGATCGTACATAACAGCAGAGGGAGAGTCCAGGAAAGAAATCGACCGCAGAATCGGAATTGGTCGCTCGGCTGTTGGAAAGCTGCAGGCAATATGGCGAGATAGCAGCATAACACGCAACACGAAACTCCGAATATTGCGATCACTCGTGTTCTCAATCACCACCTACGGCTGCGAAACATGGACATTACGACAACGCGAAAGGAACAGGATCGATGCTTTCGAAATGTGGGCTTACAGACGCTTGTTTGGAATATCATGGAGCGACCGTGTTACAAACATTGAGGTATTGGAGAGAGTGGGGCACTCGAAAACCCTGCTGAGAAATATTCAAAAAGCACAACTACGGTACTTCGGCCACATAGCACGCCGAGACTCTTCCTCGCTGGAAAAAACCGTAATGTTGGGTTTTGTTGAGGGCCAAAGAAGTAGAGGTAGACCGAAACACCGATGGACAGATAACATCAAGGCCCTGGTTGGTGCATCTCTCCGGGAATGTATCGAACAGGCGCAAGACAGAAGATTGTGGTGTGGTATCATTCAGAGGTGCACAAGCAGCCCGCCGGCGGCTGAATGAACAATGATGATGATGGTTTCCATGGACGCCCTTTGGAAACTCAATACGAGACTTTTTATATAGCCTCTCGAAAACGAGGGCTGGAGTCCTCGAAAATCTCATGAATTTTTAATAAGCATCGTTGATCTTGCTGCCTTGCAAACATAACATGGGGAAGAAGTGCCGAATGCCGAAATTATAAGCAAGCGACCAGTTCAAAGTGGAAATTTTTAACAATAATGTAAAGCGGCCATGGAAACGAATTGGTAACTGTCAAGGTCTTGTAGATTGTTTACCAAATGAATGGCTATGCAATCGACCGTTGCAAGGAAGAATTGCAGAAGTCCAACTAATAACTTGGACAGAAATGTTGTTGAAGCATTTAATCAGCTTCACCTTAGCGTCATTGCTCATTTATGATATCTGTATGACGAGAGCTGCAAAGGTAAAACGTTTTAGCTACCCATTGATGAGAACAAGACGAGGCTTAAGAGATATTAGAGGTGTTCCCACAGAGAACTTGAAGGGACGGCCAGGGCAAGGATATTATATTGCAGTTGAAGTTGGCTCCCCATCTCAAAGAGTAAGTTTGGTTTTATTATGTAGAATAACAAGGATAAAATTGACTCTTATTGCACTAGACCCTCCTTCAAATCTCCAGCTGTAGCAATGAAATCAACAATTTCATGTGTATTGGATTTCATTGCGCCTGGCCTAAAACAAAGTTTTTTGCAGCCTAACCCTATTTAGTTTGAATTTTTGAAAATTTTCTTAAACCAGGCTTCTAAAACAATGTTTTTCAGAAAACTTATCCTTGACAGATTCTAAGAAAGGTTGTGTATTCAATTATCTAAGTCTATTCTTTTCTAACAATTTGTAGAATTGTTTGTTTCAGCATTGCTGTGATTTAAAATTGTTACTTTTGTTGCACTACCTGCCTTCTGCCCATTACTTCTGTAAAAGGCTTTTTGTTGATAATAGATAATGCTTGTTTTGAGATATCTGTAAAAGCAATGTGTTTGGTCAATATTCTGATACACCACCTTTATAGCATAGAAAGCAAAGACAAGACTGTTGTTTGTAATTTATCCCCAAATTTTAAACAATTGACACATTGACAATTGACAAAAAACTTTGGCTTCCAGACAGGAAAAAAGGGAAATATGAAATGATTTAGGCATGTCCTAACAATCTTTTTTGTACATTCTATTTTTCAATCTTGTTATATTTAGTTGTTTTTGCATTTGCAAATAATGAAAAATTGGTGAAATTATTTAGAACTTCAGAATTTGTCTAAATTCTTTTGTTTTTCAGATAAACGTGTTAGTTGACACAGGAAGTAGCAATTTTGCCATAGCTTCCAGCCCACATCCATATTTGCCGGTTTATTATCACCCTGAAAGGTAAGACAAGTTTATTATCACCTTTTAGGCTCTTGAGCAACAGGCATGCCTTACAGTATCTGTTATTTCACACAAGACAAAATGGGCTGTTTTTTGTATTTTCATGCATTGCGATACTAGGCCAATTTTGAAATATAGTTGCAAAGCATGCCTGCTGCACAAGAGCCCTTCAATAAGCAAATTGCAGATTCAAGTTTGATTTCTGTTTATTAATTTCATAATTGGCTGGAAGCTAAATTAAATTCTGTTTTAGTTTTAGTTTAAAAGATGTTAATGGGTTTTAGAAGTTTTTTTGCAAGTTTTACTGTTCATCACAGATACTGACTGATAATTATGATTACCCAATATTCGAATAAATTACGGATGCTGACTTTTCTCTGACCAACTTATTGAGGGAAATAGAGGGAGATGAAAACTAGCATACAGAGAAAGGAAGTTTCAAAGAACTGTTATGTCTTCATCAAAAAATGTCTTGAGCCTAAAAACTGATAATAATTTTGCTAATCCATTTGTAATTTGGCATTTGATCCATTTGCAATGTGTCTAATTGGCAAGTTGTTTCACTTCCCATACCCATATTTAGCTCTATATCATATCCCAACACTACTTCAGAAATATATCATATTTTATAATAAAATAAAATATAGCAAATATGAAGTAATATTTAGAGGCAAAAAATGTTAATGCATTGGGATTGCAGACAAACAATTGATCTACTAAAGTTAATTTTTATTGTAGGTCAGTGACTGCTGTTGATCTTCATCGACCTGTTGCAGTACCTTACACACAAGGAAATTGGGAAGGAGCTCTTCTCACAGATGTCATTCGCTTCATTGATGGACCAAATGCAACTGTCAGGGTCAATGTTGCAGCAATATTGAGTTCTGAGAATTTTTTTATAAATGGATCAAACTGGGAAGGCATTCTTGGTCTAGGATATGCACGACTAGCTAAGGTTTGTTTCCTAAGTTAGCTGTATACAGTTTATCTATAAGCTGAAGTGCGATTTGCTAAATGATTAAGTGTGAAACTTATAATTGCAACTTAGAACTAACCTTTCCCCCAAACACTTAAGCATATAAACTGATAGGTGCAATTTGATTTTTTACCCACAAATAGGAAACCAGTTCTGAAGTGTCCGAAAAGATGAACCCTATTCCAAAATTTGCAGCTTTTGCCAAAATACCCACTAGGGAAACTAATACAAAATGTAAGGAAGTCAGATTTAAAAATCCCATAACTGGGGTGAAAACAATAGCAGGTTGTGTGGCCAAGCTAGCTTGTTTCAAGAAAAGTAAAATTTCTTTGAAAAGTTTGTAGTCTTTATTTGCAAGGCTGTTACGCCCCCATTCTGCATGATATTCATTTTTGCGATATTTGAGTGAATGTTGGAAAAAACAAGTGTTGGCATTTCAGGCTTTATTCACACAGTACTGTCTAAATGAAGCAAGTGATATTCAGGCAAAATATATATAAAGCACATCTATCTTTGGTGTTCCACTACACTCATGAGTTTTTGACATCCACTACATCCATCAGTTTTTGACACGAAAACAATTTTAAACAAAACTTTAAGATATATGTTCAGATTCGCTGTATCTGTGATTTATTCAGTATTTCTTTCTTAAAGTTTATTTATGGTAGCACCTATATTAAGAAATTTTATTTTTTATTTTGATTCATATTTTCTACAAATATAAAACTATCCAGCTAGGTATACAGAAGTAGCTCTAGGTAAGATTAAGGGGACTGCCCCTTTTTGTTTTTGTGATTTTGAGTTTAGTTTTCAAGGCGAATTTGGGTAGTATTCATAATAGGAATATTATCTTTTCTTGAGTAAAAATCTACTGCAAAACGTTTTTGGCTTTTTTGACTTGTTTAGCTTGTTTATATAAATGTTATGATTTTATAGCCTGACACCAGTGTGGTTCCTGTTTTTGACCAATTTGTCATGGCTGGTGTGACTGAAGACAAATTCTCGATGCAACTATGCAGTAGCAGTGAGCTGGACCCATCTGCTGAACCAACCGTTGCTGGTACGATGGTATGTAAGTTCTTTTCATAGAGAGAGTTATTTGCGAGAACACAGTTGCTGTGGCCAGCAAGGCCAAGCATTTATGATAATAGTAGTATATAGGAAACAAAACAACACAATGAAAATAAAACATTGCTTGCCTTTCATTTCCATTATCATTGTCATTTTTCTATTTAATTAATTTATCATTTTTTCACTACCATTGTCACTATTATCATCATTATTTAATACTTTCAGAATTTTTTATTCTTACCACCACTACCAACCTTCAATACACTCTCATTTCACTACCACCACCCCCACTCTCGCACTCGCCACCCTTCCCTCTTTCACATTAATTACCTTTTTTCTCTCCGCTGCATTGCATTCACACCATTCAACATCAACCAATCTGACACCACCATCGCCTCTTTGAAATTTATAAATTTTTAGTTTGTTTACTTTTGTTCTGATGAAGTCCCGTATGCCAGAGCGAAATGCTAGTCATCACTGATTTGTGTGTTCGTTGTTGTTTATTCTCGTCGCATTGTGGTGTTCCTTGTATACTACTATTTTATCTATTTTTTGCCACAACATATCCTCCAGAGTCTGTCAAGCAGCCTGCTATCGTGGCCTTTCCATTATTTGCATATTTAAGATAAATGCCTTTTTGTTCTGCATTCTCTTTCAGTTTTGCAAGATAGTGATAAAGAATTGTTCATTGATTAATTCACCCTAATAAAATAAAAAGTACTTTGAAATTCCCACTTTTGACCTGGTTCTTTTCATTTGACCTGTAAATTCATTCTGTTATCCCAAAAAATTGTTATTTATTGGTGGTTCCAAGGCATTATTTAAATGCTGTTTTTGATTGTTTGTGTTTCAGGCTGAGCCTGTTTTTTTAAGACAGACTTTCTAGTTTATGCACCTGTTTTACTAGTTCTATGACCCAGACATATCAATCACATAAGAAAATAAAGACTTAATTAGAACAAAATAGATTTCTTTACTTTCTACTGTTCGAAAGGCAACTTATGATTGGAATAAGGGCCAATTCCAATAATTTTGATAGAAGCAATGAATCATTGTTGAAGATGTCTCCCACACATTGTTATTTCTTAATTGAAGTGGCATTGATGTCAGTTGTATTGAATGGCATTGATATCTGTTGCATACATAAAGTGAATGTCCATCCTATGTAAATTCAATAGCATTAACTCAATCTTTAATGAAACAATATTTCTTAACCAAAATAATTTCCTGTATGGTCTCAGCCGCACAAATCCCACTAAGCCAATTGAGAGAAAAAACTTATCCTTACAGTCAAAATTTTCAAAGGTCATTCAAAACGTAGCTTTAGGCAAAGTAAGAGATTTCATGGCTCTGTCCTTGAGCTCATTAAGAGCACGGAAAACCACAGGTTATTGGGAAATGAAAGAAATGGAAGGAAGAGAGGCCACATGTGACATAAATGGAGGACACTAGGGTGTGCTGCTTTTTAGCAGCCTAAGGTCTCCCACATTTGCCCTGTAGGTCATCAGTCAGTTATCAAATTTTCAATTCCTTGTTTTGTTGGGGTTTTTAGCCTTTATTCTCTTATTTTGGCTTTATCCCAAATGTGTTTGCTGTTTATGGTCTGCATTAGTCTTAGTATCTCTCAAAATCAGATATATTTGGGGTATTGTCTTTACAGACTTTGGATAATCATATTGTCTGTTTGGTTTCAATATGAATTGCGTCTCTGGGTCTTTGAGTACTCCAGAGCTAGCCAGGTTGTTCTGTGGCAAAGTTTGTGTTGCCCAAGGCTGAACCTGGGAGGTCCCTGGAATTGGACGCATAAATGAAGTCAACCTTTTTAGCTGAGCGGGGGAAAGACGTTAATCAGCTGAGCAGGTACCTTGGAGAGATCCAATCTTTGCCAAAGCAATTGAAAAACTTCCCTAAATTTTGCACGAATCCCCTTTCCCTCAAAACAATGCTAAATATTCTTAGGCTAATGGTTTATAAAAACGCTTTTTGATATGCAAAGTTGTGCTGCAATCATATAAAGATAAAAAATTGCTTTTCAACGTTGTTAGGGGGAGGGGGTCAGTGGAGAGTATGCACTGTCAGGAGTTTGGTGGTCCGGAGAAAAGGCAAGAGCGCTGCGTTTTTTCAAGCGTTTGTAGTAAAGTCCTTTGGCCTTCAACTTTTGAAATTGAGTATTTTGATGTTCTCACTATTTTTGGTAAAGTTGCAGCTTGGTATTGTGTAGCACTAAGCGTTTGTTACGTCATCGTTGTTTCAAGGCTTGTCCTTTTTGTGTGCGTAGAATGAGTACACTGCTTGGTTAAATAGTAATGGACGAGGAATAGTTAGCGAAATATGATAGCAATCTTTCATTTATGCCCATGTCTTGCAATGCTCTTTATTTAAAGCATCTTTGCATCTTCAGGTGTTTGGAGATATTGACGAGGAGCTGTATAAAGGGGACCTTCTTTACACTCCAATTGTAAAAAAGTGGTACTATGAGGTGATCGTTACTGACATCGCTGTCAATGGAATTAGTTTAGGCTTCAACTGCAAGAAATACAACTACGACAAAACAATCGTGGACAGTGGGACTACCAACCTGCGTGTTTCAGAGGAAATTTTCGATAGCATTATAACCAACTTAAAAAAGTATGATAAGGTTGGTCTCTTTCTTCTCAATAATTCCTTATCGAAATCGTATTATTGTTTTTACTTTTATTTTGTCAGCATTGCAATATTAACGATGAATGCATCTGTGCAGAATGAAAACTGCTCCATGAAATTATCACGACGTGATAGGTTGAAAAAGAAAACAAAGAACTCAAATAAAAACCAAACACATTGTTGCGAAATGCGTGAGAATTCTGCTTAGGTGCACGTGAGTGTGACTAAAGACCGAAATGCGCGTGTCTCACGCAAAATTCGTGTGTCTCGCATAGAACACACGCGTCTCGCGCAAAATGCTTGAGACTTGGAGGGTCTTGACGTAAGCCAAGAAAAATGAGGAATTCAGGTATATTCTTTGGGTTTGTAGGTAAATTGTATATTATCTACTGTTGTAGTTCATTTTATCCTTATTGTTATTCCAACTTTTGTTGGTATCCCTATAATTAGTTATGAATAATGTGGTGATATGGTTTCCACCAACACGTTTTCTCTCTGCGCTAAAGCTCTATCAATTAAAGCCATACTCTCTGTTATCAAACAAGAAGAAGGAAGAATTGTAATGGCAGGGGGAGGGGGTGCTATATTACCTCTATGAATCCGTGAATATAAATAAGGTGGTATGGTGAAGAGCGAACGGTTGATTGCACAAACACTTTTAATTGGAGCTGCTGCAAGCAAGGGGGTGGGAAGTACTGAAATTGAACACGAATTTGTTTTATTCATTTATTGAAATAATACCTTCCAGTGTTTTTAGATTTAACATAATTTTTTTTCCTTACCCTTCAAACACGGTCATTAAGTGGATTTACCCCTCTAATTACGCACTAGAGAGCATTTATTGTTTTTCTGTCGTGTTTAAATAAATTCAACCCACATGAACATGAAACCTATATATCATCATTCTAAGTGAATATGACACAGAATATCAAAGATAAGGACTGATTTGAATTTTGCAGTCTTCTTGCTTGCATAATGTAAATATACATGGTCCTAATTTCTTATTCCATTCAACATGGAACGTATTAGAAGATGGACCCCGTCTATTGACAGTCAAATTGTCTTCTTTTTTTCTCGAAAGAACTTCTAGTTGCCCCCATCCCCTCACTTAAGAAATGACACCTCACGGTCAGCGGCGGTCTGGTACGTAATTGCAGGGTGTCTCTCATACTGCACAGATGAAAGTGTGATCGAGCGACCACACACATTGAAGCAACAGCCGAAAGTATACTTTCGTTTGAAAACAAGTTAGCAGTTAATTCGTGTGCTGGTAGAATTTGTGATGAAGATTTTAGACACTTTGTACTTTGTGTGAATCAGTCCAACGTCCAAGCTGTGTCTTTTGTACTTCTAATTACTTTATGCCGTGTTTATAACAATTTTTACCAGTCTTTTTTATTCATTTTTTAACCATTTGCAAGGTGTTGCGGAGTAGATAGATCGAAATACAGAAAAGTAAGCATTATGAATACCTAATTGACGGATATGATTAAGTGACAAAAAAAGTTGTGGAGATGACTTAGGAGAATTTCGTGAAAAAAGATCTATAAGCTGAAAACACTTTTGTATTTCTGTATTGTGAGCGTGTATCTAAATAATAATGTAAGCATCAAAACTTTAAACGATGTGTTTTACAGAAGGCCTTTCACATAGTTATTTAAAAGATGCGCAAAATGCCGAGGGGCGACCAGTTCAGATACTCGTTCAGATGCTATATGCCAAAAGTATAGGGATAATTAGATGGATAATAAGGATGATAAGACGATTAGATGCAAGACAGGTGTAAGACAGGGATGTACGTTAGACCCACGATTGTTGAATCGTCTTACGAACGGGATTGAACTGTTTATTAAGTGGATAAAGGTGGCGCGCAGCTTCACGAATGTACTGATATGTCATTTTGTTATGATTTTGTAATGTTTGGTAACTTGATGTTCGACTAGCATTGACCCTCAAATTCACTTAGTTTATTACTAACATTTGTTATTATTTGAGTGATTTTTGGTATTTTTTTTAGAATTTTAGTAGATATTCAAGTAAAGAGAGAATAAAATTTATTAGAAGTTAGCAAGATTCATATTCTGAAACCTTTTGTGAAAAGGCCCCGTCATCTGTTTTTTCTTTTAACAGCAAATGTCCAAGTGGCGATCGCCACTTTGCCACCCTGGCCAGACCGCGCCCGCTCACGGTACCTAATGACGTGGTCTTACCTTTATTTGTTTACGTCCATGCTCTCCTTATTTAGGCACTATTACCTTGTCCCTTATTCAAATGCATCAATAGTTATAGAAATTTATGTAGAAATATGAAGCTTATCATCGTTTTTGTTCTCGAATGATGTTGGTTGATGTATTTTTCTGAAAGATAGCTCGTTCTGTTTCAGCTTGGCGTTCCTGACGAATTCTGGATAGGTCGCCAAATGATGTGTTGGAATTACGACAAAACACCCTGGGAGGAATTTCCAGACATGTCCATTTCATTGTTATCTGCAACTAGCTCGTCGAAAGAATTCACTTTAAAAATTCCTCCACAGGTATATCTTTGCTGCAACATTGCTTTTAAGCCAAAGCTTAAATTATTCAGTTAGGCTAAATATCATTGCTTCAGTTTGGTTGTTGAAACTCTTTTCTAATAAATTCTGTTGAAAATCTAAACATTCATGCTTAGAAATTGTTTTCATCCAATGTGTCTTTTTCGTAAGAGCGAAAATAAGGATTTTCTTATCATTAAAACCATCTTGTAAATCTATATTGACTTGTAACTATTTTTGTAAAAATCGATTTGCAAATCTATTTGTTGAAATTTTTACCAAAAAATCTTGTGGCTTTTATGTCAATTTTTTAGGACTCAAAAACCATGTTAATCATTCCGTTTTCCTTTTCAATTAGTTATATCTGAGAGAAACCATCGAAAGAGGACCATTACCTGGACAGCATTGTTATAAGTTTGCAATCACAAAAGCTGAGAAGGGTACAGTCATTGGCGCCGTCATAATGGAAGGGTTTTATGTTGTTTTCGATAGAGAAAATGTCCAAGTAGGCTTCGCTGCAACGACATGTGGAGGTTAGCTCACAGCATATGAATTTCATACCGTAATGCCTCGAATAAGCGCCCGGGCGCTTATTTAATTTTTGAGGCTCCATGGTGGTCGCTTATTCTAGGGGGCGCTTAATCGAGGGGGGCGCTCATTTAAAAAATAGATTTGGGTGCAAATTGTGTTGTTCATTAATCTTTTTTGTTGAATTGCTTTCCAATTATATTTTCGTTAAAAATTCGAATAAGCGCCCATTTCTGAAGGTTGAAGATGGGCGCTTATTCGAGGGGTGGGCGCTTATTCGAGGGGGAGCTTATTCAGTGACTTCACTCCTAGGGTGAGTGCTTATTCGAGAGGGTTCCTTTTTTGAGGGGGGGGGCGCTTATTCGAGGCATTACGGTACTGTGTTTGATTGTCAAGATCTCGTCTTCTACCCAGGAGCACATATCTTATGTATTAGGTTTTACCGAGAGCCATTTTACCATGGCTACTGCCGGAACATATGTCAATTTGAATCCTCTAAGCATTACACTGGCCTTCTGTAAATTTACTGAATGTAAGAACCTTTCCTTTTCTTTCTTTGCCTTTATAGTAAATGCAGCTTCATGGTTGTATTTAGCTACAGAACGCAAATCAACCCGGGTCGCTGTAACCGGGGAGAAGCAAATCAACTAGGGCCGCTGCTGGGTGTCATACAGCCTATGTTAGATGTAAGAGTTGGAGCGGTGTACAATACATAAAATTTCTGATATGGCATTCCCTGTTGGTGTAAACACTTCCTGCACACTTATGGGCTGCACAAAAAGAAAGGGGCATCATTTTATTCTGTCGGAAAATGCAAAGGGGCACTTTTTACCATAGTAAGGGCAACCAATTTGTTCCTGGAAGAAAGTAAAATGGACACCTGCACTGGTCACCGGTGCCGACGCAACTAAGCATTCCTTCTGTCCTTTCGTTCATAATTTATTATAGTCCCTTTAAAACACTATTCATTCATTCCTTTTCATCTGCAACCCTTCTGATATGAAACCCAGGTTCATTTAGAAGAATAGGCAAAACCCAATACAATCACGAACCTGTCGAAAAGAGCACAAAAAGCGGAATCATACCGTCCTCCTTCTAAGTTCTGAAATCCTAAGAATCGTGACATTTTACCATTTTCAACAAAAAATATCCAAAGATATAGAGGGAAACTCTAAATTTCCTTAAAACTCCATCGTATTGAAGTTTTTGCATTTTAGAAAAGTGTCTAAAATTGTGGTATGAGTATCAGTTTTTTTCTGGAATAACTGAGTTGTCCAAGAATCAAGGGAACAACAAGCCATTGTAATGATCCTCATCAGACTGCCTATCAAAGTTTTTGTGCTATTTTGAAGATTCGTGCTACCAGCGGCTTATTTGAAAGCATAACTTAGTGCTTTTTGTTTATGTTTTCAGCGGAAGGACGTTTAAATCCAAGATCAGAGGTTTTAGGACCCTTCACGAGAGGTAAATGTATTTTTATTATAACTTTTTCACAATATGGTGCAAAGATGACTTACTGATTAAGCGATGCGGTATGCAGCATAAATTTAGTTATACGTTCCTTCTTAACAGTACAGTCCTGAAAATTCTGAAATTTAGTATGATGCATCCAGATGTTCATATATTTTTTACTAAATTCATCACATGGCCTCTTGCCTTTTCTCCTTCGCAATTATGTTGAGCTAAACTACACATTTCAGCCATGAAACACCTGCCATAAAACTGTATCCTTAGACCATATGAACGAAAAGAAAAACATCCTTAATACTGCCTATGCTGTTTAGTGTATAGAGCAAGACGGTCCTAAGCTGCTACTCAGAGTTTCACACTAAGTGCGATCATCAGGCAGAACAGTTGTGTGAAACACGGAGTTGCAGCTTAGCACGGTCCTGTTATACACACCAAAAGCGTGTACAGATCTGTCTATACGGCATCGACCACTTTATAACAGACCGGTAATTTTCATTAATTACTGCCTATTTAAGAATGCTATAGAAAAGTATGTTCACACATGGTCTTGTCTTTTGCTACTTTTGTCTCTGTAACATTTGTAACCGTAGCTCAATTCAAACTTCTAGAACAGATTGTTCAGAGAAATCTCTTATATTGTGTGTTAAAATAGTAATAACAATGATAAAAGACTTATATATAGTAATAGGTAGAAGTTTATTTGATTATCATTATTATTAAGCACCAAGCTGCTGCTCCTTTTTAACTTAAAACCGTTGCCGGATCTTCCCCAAAACCATTGCCTTTTAATAAGAACTAGCTAAATCAAATTATTTCTACTGTCTGCAATTTAGAGGTCTAAAGGCATGTTTTGTAAAATATTCCACAATTGTCACACAAAAAAAGATCAGCGACATATTGTGATATTTTAAGTAAATGTTTAAGTACAATTGTGTTTGTCAATTTTTTCAACTCAAATAAAGTATATAGACAAATTGACTCAATTTGAAATTTTTTTTGAATAACTTCGCCTAAGTCGGCATAGATGGCCTATTTTGTGACACCGGTTTCAAATATTGTGCTGCCCTGTATATGCCTCGGTGTGGTTTTGAATTCACACTGTAACCGAGATCGCAACATGTAAAGCGGCACCAATTCGCGTCTACAATTATTCTACAGTATCAAAGCAAAGAGCGGTGTTTTGAATTTCGATTGAAGATGCGAGTCAAACAAAAGGCAAGTTAGAAAATTGCAAGGAGCCGCAGATTTACAACCAACTACGCTTGAATAAACGACTAATGTTTACGTTTCAACCATAACTTATTTAGGCCTTCTTGTCTGAGACCGCTAGTTCGTAACGTTGTTTTTCGCTGCCAACTTGTTTGATTATCAGCGATGTTAGTGTTTCGCAGCGATTTTAGTGATGAAGTACTGTTGTTGATAGGAAAACCTCTAATTAAGCTTGTGTTCTGCACTGTTTGCTTACCGATCCATACGTTTCTGAACGCTTTGTTGCCTTTTGGTCAATGTATGATATTCCGTATTCTGCAATCTTTTTTAAAGGCTGGTTTCCACTTATTTCGCCCTGTTCGCGCGACTTTTGAGAATGCGAATCGACGAATCAGCTGAACTATTGGCAGCGAAAGAGGAAGTTAAACTTGCGCATGCTCGAATTTGCGTTCGCTCAGTCGCGCGAGCAGGCTTGTTAAAAAGTTCAATCGACTTTCTCTAGCTCGTGCTGTTATTCTCTTCCTTCATCTTCCCTCCGGTTCTATACTTAACCAGAATTTATTGATTGGGTGGGACCTTTCATCAATTGGAGCGGAGGTACAGAGCAGCCCAGTAAATTAGCTAGTTCTAGAGGCGTAGTGAGACCCTCGTGAATTGTTATTCGTTAGTTAGGGCAACTCTCTAAAATTTATTTTTCTTATATTTGTCCAATAACCCGAGGCACTTTAGGTCTACCAAGCCATTTATATTGATACCTGGTGATAAATACGCTTATTTGTTGTATGAGACGCGCTGATTGAAGGGGTAGAATGTCTTAGAAGAGGCATTTCTAACCTGACCTGCCATTAATTTCAGTTTTCGTTTCTATATACTAAGTGGCGAGTTTCTATCAGTGAATGATAAGGAAAGATAATTTTGAAATAACTTAAAATTATACGAGGAAAATAACGACTTTTCGAGCGTAGCCCTTTGTCAACGTGAAGGGCAGGGGAAAAGCAATAAGACCATAAGAGCATTACCACCAGGATCATACACTACCAATTGAAATTAATGACGAGGCAAAAGAAACACGAACAACAAGTCGTATGGAGTAAACCGATGCCGTAAGAACAGGTAATTAAAGAAACTCCATATCCTTTTGACGTTTGTTTCCATTTTATGGTCTGGTCAAAATCTGTACTAAATTTCGAAAAGCGAGTGATTAAATAGCAACCAGGCTGTGATTGCTGTCAACCCTGTTCAATGCCTTCTTTTTACCATGCAGACTATCGTTTCGTTAAAATGACTGCCTATCAGGAATTTCACTCTTGCTTCTCAGATGGATAGAAAACTTCTGGTATTTGAAGGTTGTAGGCTCCCAAAGCACGAGTTACATGTGGCGCACAAGTGTCATATTGCTTCATTTATTTAGTCATTTCAAAACTAACGCGTGATCCGAAGAAAAACTTTCAAAGGCTGAGGAATGTAAAAATTTTCTTGCTGGAATTATCAGTGTAGAAAATATTATTTAGATAATAGGGTTGGTTTTCTGCAGATCTTCAAAAAAATCGTCGATATTCACAACATCAGCTTTGCAGCATCACCTGCAAATTACACATGGAATGCACGATGCAATGAAATACACATAGACATATCGCATATATCCTTCTTTCTGTACCGGCGAGTTGACTTCAACTTCACGAAGCAAATCAACCAAAAGTAATTAACGCGTAGTCATAATTTAAAGCACAGTTCATGCTGTCAAATTCGACGTATTTGCAAAAATTTGGCAACAACACCAGCTGCCTTGCATGGCAAACTATTTGATCAATTTAATTGAAGAGCTGCGTTTTGTCATGCTATTTCTCCGTAAACCAATTATAATTATCAATATCTTTGTTCCTGAACTCCAGAACAGTTACATTCTTGCCTGCTAGAAAAATTGACTCACTTTATCATTAATAGCTCCAGATTATCTACATTCTCTGTTATTTTGCCTGAGAAAGAAATCAACCCACATCGTCATAAATGTGCTTCAGTTCACTTACGTTCTCTATTGTTCTTTCTGCATGTAGAATTGTCTCATGTTGTAATGAACTTAGCCAAGATCACTGACATTCTCAGTCGCCTAACTAATTTTTAGTTTTGAATTTCCATATATGGTGTACACGGTCTCAAATTTCGACGTCCCATACATCTGTGCAATCTCAACCTGAGAAAATGTTCTGGAAAATTATTGACGAGGAATAATTCTGGAACATCGAGTCATCGTTAAAAAAATTTCATTATTTACGGCTTACATATACTCTATGCAAACATACTTGAAAACCCATTGCACCAACGCTAAATGGTTTTTGCAAATCTATGTCTACAATAACGACTCCTACAGTCACATTTCAAAATTTTTGTTTGATTTGTTTTGACTTTCCCCTTTGTCCACCCATTTCTTCAGATATGTTTGAGTGTTTCCTTTTGCAATCTTAACGGGACCCCGTTCTTTGTATATAGCGATTCTCGTCTTCCAGCAGGTTCCCGTTTTATGTTCCTCGTATCCTGCGTGTTCCCGTTCTTCCTTGTCCAGTTTATAGCACTTAGATGTTTACAATCTTTCGCTAGATATACTTCAACTTAGTTTAAGGTCACTAAGGGAAGATATTATTTAGATACTCTTTATAGTTTTACGGTTTTCCGCATTTGCTGTACTGAGAACTGGACCATCAGCAAATTTGACGTTGGTGATCAGTTTTCTACCCTGGCAGTCTCTAGAGGTACGAAAAGAAAATATGTGTGTACTCCCACTCATGCCAAATTGCATTTATTTTAAGTTCACGTTAATTTGCCTTCAGTTATCATATCTCCGCTTATTTCACCACCCATTTATCAGTGCCATCTTTCGCTTGACGTGAAATATATTTAATAGTTTACTGTACCCACAAGGATGTAGACTCATAGTGAGTGGACCTAGATTCTGCTGTTTTATCCGTCAAAGTGCACGCTCGATTGTATCAAAGCGCAAACAAACACCTAAGGCTCTTTACCTCAAAATAGTAAATAGAATTGGTGACATAACAGATCCTTTCCTGACATCAACAGATACCTTCTTTTAGTTTTTCACTAACTTAAACTAGGTTATTCAGTTTTTTCAGAGTGGTAGTTTCCGCTACAGCTCGTGTTCTGATTCGTTGATTCGGTTTTGCTACAGTCGTGTGGACCAGAAACCGCCAGCCCTTATGGCTTTAGTGCTGACTGTTTTTCATCCACGGTTTTCCGTTTTCTTATTTGTTTCTGGTGGGCGTCTTATGACAAGTTGTATGTATTATTATATTATTCTCCATAGTTAACTATTTCGTACACTTCCGTATTGCTAATCCAAAGTGCATTTGTGTGAACAGCGTTGTTTTTATCTTAGCCGATCCCGCCGATTGTGAGTACATCGAAACAGAACAGGCGGACAATGCTTTGCTCACTGTGGCATACGTCATGGCTGGTGTTTGTGGCCTGTGCTTGCTTCCGATTTTTATCATACTTGGCCAAGCAACTTGTCGCAGAAGAAACCAATCAAACAGCGATGCTACACCACTACGGAGAGACTTCTAGTTTGTTCAGTATTTTGAAGCTGGCAGCGCCAAATAGTCGGCGACTGATATTTTCATTAGCTCAACTGAAGTCCCGCCAGAGAATATCATAATTATTTATTATCTATCCTGATACCCTTTAAGCTGAAATAGGACGTATAAAATCATAATAATAATGTTTCTATGTATATTTCTTCTAAAGATGTTGCCTAGAGTCTTCTGAACCTTTATGTGCAGTTGAAGATAAATTCTGAATTCTTAGGTAGATGACTTTATCTAGTCGCCTTAGAAATGCTCTCGGTACTTTCAGGTTTTACTTTCGGATACAAAATGCATACATACCTCGATACCTGACAATAGTTTCATTTGATAACTTCGGGTTTCAGGGATGTGTGCTTGTCATGATTTTGAAAGGTCCTTGGTATTTTACACATTGAGCCGTGTAAGGGATGTGTGCCTAGAATGGCGCCTTTCTTTCCCGTGAATCGTGCTTTGTCCTTTAGACAATGAAAAAATAAAGTATGTTGAATTTTGCTGCATTCTATGGTTGTGACTCGCGTAATGTGCACTGTCAATGCTATCACATTTAATATACCTTTTTACGAAGCTGTTTATTATTTATTGACAGAATTTACCTGGAGTTGCCTATTTTTAGCCGATTTTGTATTACCTTTGACCGATTCCCACCACCTTTCACCGGTTTCTCCACTTTTGGCCGAACTCACCACCTTCGACCGATTAATACCACTTCTTGCCGATTCAAACCCATTTTGACCGACTCCAACCCCCTTTGACCGATAAACACCACCTTTTTACCTCTTACCATCGCCTTTGACCGATGACCACCCACTTTGACTTCTTTGACCTTTTACCGCCGCCTTTGACCAATTACCACCACCTTTGATCTATTTCAACTTCCTTTGACCTTTTCCAACCGCCTTTGACCTATTCTTTTAAATTTTGCTCCCATTACTTTTCTCACGTTGGTCCTTGGTCGTGCCAACATTGGCCTCCGCCCCATTCATAGATACCAGTCTGGTCGAACAACGAAAAAATCTTTAGCTTATTCTTCCGTTGATAAAAGTGAAAATAAGTCGCTGAATACCAAAATACTAAAGTTTAGCTCCCAAATCAACATTTGTATTGCAAGGATGCAAGTATACACCCATGAATTTTTTGTTATAATATTTATGATAATATTGGGTAGGAGCATCATATTGCACATGCTTAACTTATGGGATAAACATCAAATAAGAGTTAAAATTGCTGGTCATTTCGGTTGCTAGAATATTATTAATGATTTGAGTTTTTGTTTAGAATAGAAAATTTTGTATTTTTAATGTTGGACGATCTGTTTTTGTCTTATGTATTATTTTTCTTAAGTATTTGTGATGTTAATGTTGGATTTGAAGGGTCCTAGTAGTTGGTGGTTGTGGCAGACATGGAGAAAACCGCTTAGTGTAGGCCCGTGTGGAATCGAGGTTATTTAATCTTTTTGAAAGTAGTTTTGGGATATACACGTTATGCATTAGTTTAAACGTAATTTTATTGCCAATTTAATACACCATTCTATTAATGACGAGTAATAATTTGCCAACCATATAAGCCAATGGTGGAAATACGAGCATAATTTTTTCCTTAATGATAGAAGGTTAACATTTTAGGTACGAGTGCAACTCAGCTGGAAAAAATCAAAAAGTCACTTAGATGGCAAAATTTTGACAGGTTTTTGCGCTTTTCGGTATTTTTGATACAAAAGGCTGTTGTTAAAACACCCATATAACCAAAATATCGACTGTATTATGGGTGTATGGGTATCTTTATCGACATATATCTTTATCAACATTAACTTCTTAGACTTGATTCAAAACATAGTATATATTTTTTGTGCAAATAATTTATGTATTCAGCTGTGATTTTCATTCAAAGCGTCCAATTGTTTTGTACTTTTGTTGTGAAAGTGTTTTTGTGAAGTCTACTTTCAGTCGCTTTGAAGCTGCTTGCTCAAGTCGACCATCTGCGATCGACAATCATTTTGAGCTTCGTCAAATGGATACGTTACTCGATAAAAATCTCATCCATGGAGCACCGTAAACACCTGCGAATTTCGCTGATGAAAAAACATTAATTGATTTGCTACGATGCCACGTCGAATGAGCCATCCATTTCACTGATTCGATGTACTGTAAAAGAACAAAGCAATAAGGACAAAAATGAGCCATATATTTACTGTTTTTCTCTTTGGGCAATATTGATGTTTTGAGAAAATTTGTATTAATTTTGGCGAGGGGTGCCGTCCTAAAAATTTAGAAAGGGGGCTGTGCTGTAGGCGAGTTTAAAAGACCACACCCTTACCACACCCAATATACTTAAGACGCTCTGTTGGGTGTAGAAGACATTCAAACTATTCGATGACACAAAAAGACTATAAGAAATTGCTCATTGATGAGGAATTTTTTAGGGTTGCCAACACAGAACTCGCCCAACCAGATACGAACTCGCTTATTAAGGGGGGCTAAGCCCCCCAAAAATCTTTCTGAATTTTAACAAGGGGGGCGAGCCCCCCTCTTCCCTCCACGGGAACAGTGCTTTCGGCATCAAAAAGTCTGCCACTACCTCTCACCAATATCAGCCAAACCTATAACGGCTTGATCTTCCAATCAGTTTTACAATCATTGTTATCATTCTTCCTCAGCGCAGCTTTGGTCTCCACTTTCAGCTTCCATCTTGCAAATTCCTACAGTGCCAAGTCACCTATCGACGGTCTCTGAAGCACTCGAAACATGATAAAATCAAACATCTTTGGCGAAACACTTGATATGGAAAGAATATCCAGCATGATCATTACATGAACAAGAAGGTAGTTTTGAAAGAAATTAGAAGCCAGCACGAAGACAAACTAAAAAAACCAGCTCGCAAGCCAAGGAATTATAATTTCCTTTCTAATAAAGAATTCTCAAAAAAGAATTTTTGCACTGAATTGTGTCCGAAAGGAAGTTTTTGCTAAATTTTATAGAAACTTGTTGGCAAATGCTTCGACGGTCTAAAATGAGCGGGAAAGCTGAGGGCTTGGCAAAGCGAATGGAGGATTGTTCTCCGCTGAGCATCTATGTCCACTGCCTTGCTTGGCCACTAGTTGAATCTTGCAGATAGAGAGTCAATGAGAAATGGACTTGGTGTTGTTCAAGGTCTCTACAATTTCATTGAGGCCAGCACCAAAAGACATGTAATTTCAAGAGAAAATACATGAACCGTCATATAGCTAATAGGAACAAAGCGCAACACACTGGGAATGCCAGAGGCAGTGGACAGGACACTTACTTTCTTTGCAAAGATAAAGACCCCGTAACCTATCTAGAAAGCAAAGCTCTGTTCAATTGTTTCTACAATAAAATGGATAAAGTTTTGGAAGAAATCTATGTGCGATTTAATAATAGTGACTATCGCATTTTATGTGTTTTGGTGTAACGGAGGCATCTGGGGCCCTAAGCTACGAGACTTCTATTCACGGACAACAAGAAGATCACATTAAATGGTGTAGGGCATGCCAAACACAATATAAAAAGACAAAAATGAGAATTAATTTCTCGTTAGTTAGGGAGAACTGAGCTTTAGAGCTTCAGTTGAGGAACTTTCAAAGTTTTCAAAGGTTATTTGAACTTGAGCAAAGCTTTGAAGATATGGACGTAAAAGTACCTTGGGTCCCTTTTGGTCTGGGGCCCTTGGATGTTTTCAACCACTGTGTCACGACACACTAGTGTGCCTTGAGGTACTGCCTAGGGTGCCGTGGAAAATTCTCTAATTTCACATGAGTGGTCTATAAAGTCGAAAAAAAATTACAACTATCCGCAAATAATGTGCCGTGGATAGAAAAGATGTTGAAAAACGCTGAATCAAGGTGCCCTAAACTGTGTTACGCCACTGGCCCGTGATAAGGGAATGCAAGCGTGAATGCTAACCCTTCGACAGAAATCATCATTAAGGTTTGCTCCTTCTACAAAATGATTATGAGTTTCTGACCTCCTAAAAATGGAACACAAACTGTTCAATAATCACAAGAATAGGCAGGTAAGCAAAAAGTGTGTGAATTACTGAAAATGATGCAAATCATGTTCACAAAAAGATATCGATAAAATAATCGATATATTTGGCAGCTTTCGTGGAAGAAATTCGCTTTTTTGAAGAAAAATGTGTGAAGTTTTAAAAATGCTTATTAGTTAACATTATTTCAATTACGTTGCATTTTAATGATTTCTTGACTAATATTAGAAACTCACATGTGTTAAAGTACACTCCTTAAAATTTTGGGTGTTATTAGTATTCGGGCAAAAAAAATTCAGCCCCCCCCCCTTCCTGAAATCACCCCGTACGCCTATGGGTCTAAGAACAGCTGAAGATGTGTCAAAATGACAATGATTCTGTTACAGTAATTGTGGAAAACTGTTACTTGCTTACTTGCATCCATCATAGTCTATTGACTATGCATCCATGTTGCTAATGCTACTGTTCAGGAAAGATAGCTCTTTTGATGAAAATTTAAATTTTTCTGACGAAAGTAGACGGCCCATAGAACAGAGCACAGGCACTTGCCTTAATGTCTTTTGCAAATTGTTCAGCAATTTATTACTGTTTTTCATTCATTCTAAGATATTTGCATCCATGTTGCTAATCTACTGTTCAGGAAAGATAGCTCTTTTGATGAAAATTTAAATTCTTATGACGAAAGTGGACGGCCCACAGAACAGAGCACATGCATTTGCCATAATGTCTTTCACAAGCTGTTCAACTTTCTTACTGTTTTTCATCCAGGCTATTTGCATCCATCATAGTCTATTGATTATGCATCCATGTTGCTAATCTACTGTTCAGGAAAGATAGCTCTTTTGATGAAAATTTAAATTCTTATGACGAAAGTGGACGGCCCACAGAACAGAGCACATGCATTTGCCTTAATGTCTTTTGCAAGCTGTTCAACTTTCTTACTGTTTTTCATCCAGGCTATTTGCATCCATCATAGTCTATTGATTATGCATCCATGTTGCTAATCTACTGTTCAGGAAAGATAGCTCTTTTGATGAAAATTTAAATTCTTATGACGAAAGTGGACGGCCCACAGAACAGAGCACATGCATTTGCCTTAATGTCTTTTGCAAGCTGTTCAACTTTCTTACTGTTTTTCATCCCAGGCTATTTGTATCCATGTTGCTAATGCTACTTATTCAGGAAATCTGACACTGTTGATGTAAAAATCAAAATTCTTATGGCGAAAGAGGATGGCCCACACAATAGAACACGTGCATTTTTCCTAATCTCTACTAAAAGGTGTTCGAAGACTTTTCGTTGTTTGTCATTCAAGAGGGCCGAGCTATGCCATCTGCATCCATGTTGCTTACTGTACAGGAATGATAGCTCTGTTGATGAATATTAAACATTCTTTTGACGAATGTAGAAGATGGCCCACACACACACAGAAAACGTGTGCCCTAATGCTTTATGCAAGGTGTTCAACAACTCTTCGTTGTTTTTTCATTTCAGGCTATTGTCACCCCTGAATCCACGATGTAGAAAACCTGTCGTATAAATCTACTACTTTGCTTATGCTGCTGTTCAGTAAAAATAACTCTGTTTTTAGTTGTATGTGATAATTAACTTTTGCAACTTGGTTGTTTGAATAAAATGTGGTGTGACCCTGGTTGCGAGTTAAAGGACCTAAACAGGCGCGGATCCAGACTATTGCTAGTGACGCAGCCGCATCAGTCAGATTTCCAAAGAATTTGTAAGATATAGGGCAGTATTTTCGAAGTATCGATGCTGCAGTCAACATCTTCTGAATTTTCATGACTCATTATTCGATTACTATTTTGCTTATTACCCCCACCCCCAATGAGCCTCTTTTCCCTAGATTTAATTTCTATCGTCGTATCGTGGCCCCATTAGTCTTAGCCAACCTCAATGGTTTTAGCTAAGTATCTTTCAGAATTGTTTAGACAAAATTGGCGGGAACATAAAGACAACTTAAATTAATGTTGCGAGCCAATTGCATAGCTTGAATCAAACGTTGCAAACCAATCCTCTTGCTCCCCAAAACAATCGAGCTTCGTCAGAAGTGTTGCAAACCAATCAAATGATGAAGCAAATGTTGCGAGCCAATAGATTCACAGAAAGGCACAAGGAGGCTGTAAAACGTCAAGGCTACCTGGTTACCACGAGGAATCAAGATGGCCGTCTCACTTCTTGATGCTCTGAGTGAATGCCTCTTAAGCAATAACCTTTCTGCAGACGATAAATTAATAAAAACAAACAAAATAAAGGATGAATGCATTTTGGCAATATCTTCGCGGTTCAGTGATGGAAAGGCTAGTTTTTCGGGTGAATTCTGCGAATTTTCAAGATTGCAGTTTCCAGCGAGCCAGCAAGATCGAGCAGGGGAATTGAAACCTGTCAGGTAAGGTTTCAGCAAACAGTCCGTCAGTAATTAATTGCGAAGCTGTGGACATTATTAGTTAGAATCATTCTCTGTTTGTCTTAGAACCCAACTTAGTTTGCAGGTTAGGACACTAAAACTGTTTTTCTTCCCCAAACAATAGCATGAATTTCGTACATATCCCCTACTTGCTTCTATGTGCATCCCCACGCAAAATCCATATTTGCAAAACCAGTAACTTTCGCTGGATCATAGCTTAGAATTATATTTTACATCACTTTGAGATTGGTTGATGAAGAAATTGAAAAACATTTCAGCTCCCCCTCCTAGGGAACTTTCTATTGTAAAACTTTGTGTTAACTTAACTCTGTCGATTACTTATATATTAACCTTGTTGATAGTCTATTCTGTAAATGTTTGCTGGAAATAAAATTATTTTGAATTTAATTGTCTTGCTGGCTATTTTTTTGTATCGTTATTATATTTCTATTAATTTATCAAACCTTTGATTCATCTCTTTAATGCATTTTCATACACTCGGAACAATATGTTTGTCATAGAAATATGAATGCTTTATGCCTACTAATCCTATCTCCATTGGCCATCTGACTATGTAACATCCATATAACTGAGTGACATTTTAATAAACATGTTATAATATCCCTTCACAATCATATAATGATATTGGCCTAATTTGGCATTACTGCAATAATTTTCTGGGATGTTTTTCAACTTACTGTCACATTCAGTTGACTTAAAATGAAAAGTTAACTGTTGGGAGCAAAACTTTTAACAAATTTTCAGGAAATATTTGATTGTAGCTTTCATGATTATTTTAACTGCATAAACATGTAGTTGATTTGGCTTTAGAGTTTTGAGGCATCAAAATTCAAACAAGCAATTTTCCAGTTAGTGTAAAAACACATACAACACAGTGCTTTAACACATAAAATGTTGAGGGTTTATCACAGGAGCTTCATGCATGCCTTCTTTCAAAGAGAACTCTTTAGATTTTGGCAATGCCACCTTATTTTAAATCTTTATTGTATGTCAATCTGTAGTGACAAGGTCTTTTCTGATTCTCTGTTTGCAATGTTTTCACAGAACTACTGGAAATGGCAGCTGTCTTTTCAATGCATCCTCCATAGCACTCATCGGTAATGAGTCATTGTCAGTCTATCTTCGTTGCTTGACAAGTATTGAGATGTTTCAGAGTTCTTCTTTTTATGCCTATCATCCTATTTTTCGTGGTATTAATCTTAATGGCAAAGAGAGAAGAGAAGACTCCATTTTCACCAACACTTTATCTGATGTTGGTTTCAAGTCTTATCACAATGGTGATAGAAATGCAGCTGTTTTGGCAGAGTCAATTAATGTTGCCAAAAACTTTTCTTATTCATCATTGCTGTGTATGACTGCTTTGTCCACGGCTATTGGGGTGCATATTGAGTCTTATTTTCCCACTAAAACAGACACTTTTACTGATGTATATGAAGTACTTCATAACAGAATACTGAGCCCTCGGCCTGGAAGTGTTACTGCAAATTGTGACAGCAAAATTCATATTTTTCATTGTGCATCCATGCCCCCAGATTACCTAAAGACAATGAAGGTTCCAGAAAAGAAAGACCATTTTGTTCCTTTGATGCCTCCCAATTATAGGTCCACAGAATTTAAAGCACCTCCCCTTTTTTCAATAAACCTAATGCAAAGAGCTGTCAGCAGCAGTCATGTAACAAAATCTAAGTCTGGTATAAGATCTAGTGGTCCAGGCACCAAGAGGAAAGCAACAATTTTGGACCACTTTTCAGCAAAGGCAGCTAAGTCTGAAAACTTTCCATGTCACAAAGATAGTGGCAATTCACCATCATGCTCAACTTCTTTGACCTGCAATGTTGATTTGGTTCCAGAAGATTCTTCAGATTCTCATTCTATTTCAGAATTGCAATATGACATTGGACAACATTATTTGAATGTGCAAAGCCTTAGTGAAATATAATATTATAGAAATATAATTTGCTTCTGAACTGTTCAAAACTTTGCTCTGATTTTCAGTGTCCTTTGAACACTTATGGTCGTAAGTTTTTGCACAGCTGGTTGATAGACTTCCCCTGGTTGTCATACTCTAAAAGTTTGGATGGTGCTTTCTGCATTTATTGTGTTTTGTTTGCTCCAATGGAAAATAGCAACAATTCTTCAAAGTTGGTTAATTTGTGGAAATCCCCTTTCACGAATTGGTCCAATGGGCCAAATAGGTTTCGTGCACACTGCGAAAAATCACCTCTGCATCGGACTGCCACTGTCATGACTTCTCATTTCAGGCAGTGTATGGAGCAAAAGTCGAAGCCTATTGATAGGCAATTGAATAATATGGTTGATGACCAAGTAAACCTCAACAGGGGAAGGTTAGAACCAATCGTGGGAGGAGTCATATATTTCGGAAAACAAAATGTTTCTTTAAGAGGTCATAGAGATGACTCCCAGCATTATGATCAAGAGGATATTAATCCTGGCAACTTGCAAGAACTTTTAAAATACTTGGTTCGCTATGGCAAAAATTCTCTTTTTGAGGATCACATGCTCAATGCTCCTAAATCAGCCACTTACCGTTCCAAAACCATTCAAAATGAGCTCATTTCTATTTGCGAAGGCTATATTCTAGAGAAATTGACAGACGAAATTAAGGCTTCCAGATACTTCTCTGTATTGGCAGACGAGGCTACAGACACAAGTAACCGGGAACAAATGGCTCTTGTAATACGGTTTGTTGACAGTAAGTCTGAGATTCGTGAGGTTTTTGTCGGTTTTTTTGAATGCAACGAAGGAATTTCTGGAGAAGCCATTTCGAAGAAAATTCTTGAAGGTGTTGAAAAACTGTCCCTAGATATGCGATTTTGTCGGGGGCAGGGGTACGATGGGGCCGGCAATATGGCAGGCAAATGTTCTGGGGCAGCTGCCAGAATTCAACGCATGTATCCGGAAGCACCATATGTTCATTGTGGTGCCCATATTTTAAATCTCTGTGTGGCTAAGGCATGTTCCATTCAGGTTGTTAGCAATATGATGGGACAAGTTCGTGTAGTATCGGAGTTTTTTAACAACAGCCCGAAGCGTTTTTCTCATTTGGAGGGTAAAATAAAGGAGTTGTCCCCAACTGCTCGACACACTCACCTAATTGATGTGTGTAGAACAAGATGGTTAGCACGAATCGACGGTCTAGATATATTTCACGAAATTTTTATGGCGATTGTTCTTTGTTTGGAGGCCATGAGTTTCAACGACAATAGTTCTTGGAATGCTGATACAGTACGCGACGCCGGCAGTCTTTTCCTTTCAATTACTTCATTTCAATTCGTTATTTGTCTGGTCGTCGTCTCTCGCTGCTTAGAGGTTACTAGGCCTCTAACTAAGCAGCTTCAATCTATTTCGTTGGATGCTCTTGCGACCAATTCCAAAGTAGCTCTGCTTAACGCTTCGTTGCAGCGTTTGAGAAATGAGAAAAGTTTTTGTCACCAGCAGTGGTTTAGCGAAGCAGAAGAGTTAGCTCGCTCTGTTGGTGTTGAGCCTGCCCGACCTCGGACAGTTCCAAAACAGGCTAATCGTGAGAATGTACCAGCCGAGAGTGTTAGCCAATACTACGAACGTATTGTTACCCTTCCATTTTTGGATCACTTGATCACACAAATTCAAACCCGCTTTTCCAACAGGAATTTGACCGCTTTAAACGGTTTTTATGCATTCCCATCAAAAGTTGTTTCAGCA